AAAAGCAATAACCACCCTGAACTATATATATATATATGTATATGTATATATATATATATATGTATATATATATATATATATATATTTAACATCTGTATATAGCACCATATTTATTTTACAAATGTACACACTCCTTAAGACTCTGCACCTTATCTCCCTTTTTGTTTGTTTTGTTTTTTGCACTATTACTTATGTCCTATGTTTATGTTTATACTGTATATTTTTACATTTCTTATACAGTTTTTTTTTTTGCACTGCTATTGGAGTTGGCTTTTAATCTCATTGTATATGTGTATAGTGACAATAAATAAAACAATCTATTCTATTCTACCAGTCCATATTTTGTGGTCTGTGGGACTTGAACCGGCGACCCTCCGGTTCCCAAGCCAAGTCCCTCCACACTGACCCAAAACACTTTCTTTTTCTCCAGGGAGATGGGACAGTGTGTTATTCTTACCTGATGCAGCACCACGTTGGTGTCGGGGATCAGATAGTGTGGATAAGTGCACAGGTTACTCTCAATACACGCGTCCCTCTGCAGCACCGCGGACTCCTGTTTGCATTCAGTGCAAACTTCGCTTCCGCACCAAATATCATCTCTCAGATAATGCTCGCGCACTATCTTCATCACCCCACCCGACCGGGTCTTCTTCACGAAGGTTTTAGATTTCAACATCGTGGAGATAAAAGCCTCAGCAGGTTTAATCGCGGTGTTTTTTATCCTGACATCTGATGGCAAGCTAACAGTTAGCTACCCATGTGTGAGCTCAGTCTGTGGGCCGACAAAACGTTCCCAGAGTTTTGGTAAATACGTGAAATTGGATTTCAGGTGTTTGTTTTTTAAGCGGTGAAGTTTTTCCTTTATGTTAACCTCTATTTAAAAACTACGTAGAAAAATAATACACAAGTTGCGCATAAAGACACAAAGACATTTCACGGGTTTATTTTTATTTTTATAACAAATCATTTAAAACCCCGTGTTTGATTTTGGTCGACCTTCTAACGCTTGCTCAATGAAAACAAAGCAGAAGAGGATCGGGCTCATAAGAACTACTTAATTTCACAGCGACGCCTAAGTGTGGGAGGCGGTACTGCATGACCTGCGCACTCTAACGAATTACAGTCCAATGGGCGTTGCTTGTATTACACGTTCATCACCAGGGGGGGCGCTGTAACCAAGGCCACTCAACACCATTGCACTAGAACCGTTGGCGGTTAGCAGGCGGCTCGGAGCGGGACCCTTAAACACAGAAACAGCTCACCGTGTGCTCCTGTCAGCTCCGGTATGGCACTTTAACTCTGCATTGACGTTATTTTCCTGAATATGAGTGCACTGGCAGTGTGTTTTAGACCGGTGCTCGGTTGGGATTTGTTTTCGGTTTCTCCCGGCTACAAACTAACTTAACGTTAAAGCATCACATATCGCGATGCCCGTGAACTCTTGATGAACTAACTAACTCTCTAATCTCGTGTAATCTGGCTCTCTCGCCCTTGCTGGTCAACCTTAGCTACGGACACGAAGTCAGGGCCACAACAACACAAAATGCCTCCCAAGAAGCAACACCTGAAGCCGACAGCAGCCAATGTCTCCAGCTCCCTGGACCTGGAGTCGGAGGACATCAGCCTGGAGACGACCGTGCCTACCACCGAGGATGTGTCTTCGTCCGACGAGCAGCGGGACGGCTCCCAGAAGGTGACCCGCCAGCTGATCGAGAGGAAGGAGCTGCTGCACAACGTCCAGCTTCTGAGGATCGAGCTTTCTCAGAAAAACCTGATCGTAGACAACATGAAGGCCGACCATATGTCCAAGGTAGAAGGAGGGAAGGGTTGTTTGTAAAGTCTGAGGGATGGGCGCTGGTTTTATAGGAACACAATGACATATAAACCCTGTCTGTATCATACAGTAACATTGTGAGAGGTTGTGTGTCAGATTGAGGAGCTGGAGGAGAGGCTGAATGATGCTCTACACCAGAAACAAGTGTTTGCCCTGAGACTGGACAGTCAGCTGAAACTGGCTCAAGAGGAGAACAGGTGAGGAAAGCGGGGCGGTGGTCGACAGTGAAATGTACTGTAGGGAAACTGCCATGCCATATTATGGTTGATTTATCTGTTGTCTTTTAGAAAGTCAGTACATCCATGCAGAAACACCAATATCTGATCTGGCTTTTGTGTTGTTGGGGTTGAAATATATCAAAAAAGAAAGAAGAATATCAAGTCAAACCCAAGTAAGAACAAACGCTGAGGAAGGCAGAGCTAGAAATGAATAAAACATACTTTTATTTAAAGCATAAAAAAAGGTCGTAACCAGGGTAACTCTACCTGCATTCTCGTGAGCAGTGCTAACAAACATTGTCACCACCAGGAAGCAGCAGGCTCTGCGTAAGCAAGAGATGGAGGCCATCCTGCTCAGGCAGCAGCAGCTGGAGGAGACCAACAGACAGCTGTGTGAGAAGGCTGGAGAGCTGCGGTGGTCTCTCAGGGATCTGGACATCTCCCAGGAAAGGTACCGGGAGCTACGCGACCTCCCTGACGACAAAATCTCCATACAGGAGTACGTCGCTGTAAGTATGGGGGAGCTCTGCCTAACATGTACAGCCAGCCTGTTGAACCGGGACGGGATACGGTGACCGTTTGTCTGTGCTGTGTGTTCAGGTGCGTTTTTACGAGGCGGTGACTCCGCTGCGGACTCAGCTAAATGAGCTGACTGTGAAGAGAGGCAGCTTGAACGAAGAGCTGGATACACACAGAACTCAGATGAAGGCTTTGATGGAGGTACCACACACACACACACACACACACACAAGCTTGTAGTACACCTCTGTTTTATCTCATTTATGCATTATTGCATCGTATTCTTCATGTTTTTATCAAAAATGTTCTGTTTATTCCTCTTTCATCTCTGTTCAGATCATAGACGGCGTACTGTGTAAAGTTCAAATAAACACACCTGCTGAACTTTGCTGAGCTTTCTCTAACCTTTTCATGTGTTGAGGAACACATATAACATATAATACACGTTTAAATGCATTTTTTCTTTCTTTAAACTCTCAAGAACAAACTCACTCCTGCAGGCTTTCAGTCATGGAAAGCACAGACATGAAGAATGTGGAGAGAGTCAGTTCCCTTTAAACTAAGTGTGAAAATGGGGAAGACACGTGATTCAAGCCACCGAAACAGCGTCCTTGAACTGCTCGTTTCCAGCCTGCAGCGTTCAGAACGAGAGAGGTTTGACTTGAGGGTCGTCCACGCCAAGAACAATAGCTATACCAATGAGTATAAATATATCTTTTAAAAATTGTTCTTACTCAAGTGGATAGTGGAATCCACACTATAAGTGCTGAACGATATAGTTGGGATCACTTTCAGAGTGATTTGCTGCGTGTGGCATGAAGCAGCTACAAAACCTTCATTTTTATTAATACATTTCCTTAATTCCTTGATTAAATGCTGCAAATTATACACTTAAAAAAAAAAAAGTATGAACAAATTTTGTCCTCAAAAGACAGCAAGTCTCGTATCAGATTGTTAGTTTCTTAACTCCCCGGTGAACCCATGTATCTTTCTGGTTTTCTTTTTGTTTATCTGCACAAAGTACAGCAGTAACAGGTCATCAATAAGTTCCATCCTCCATTTTCCTGTCAAGCTGCCAACACAGCTGGAGCACGCAGCGTGGGGGTGGTGGGAGGTATTTTTTATTAGTGTGGATGCTCCTATCGTTATAGTTATTGTTCTCGGTGTGGACATCCCTTTTACAAAAACAATATATCCTGTTAATCTAGTCAGCAGTGGCCCTGTAGGCATAAATTACACTTTGATGAGATAATGATCCAACATGCTGAAGGCAGGGTGAGAATTAAGTAAAAGATTATAGCGTGATGCTAAATGAGCGTCGTTTGTGAACGCCACGGAGTATCTACACAAGACAGTTATTGAACCGGTGCTTGTCTTTGTTTGTTTTTTTCACTTCGATACATTCAGCAGGAACATTACTCATCAGCTCAAGATTGTTCCAGGAAAAGAATGTGATGCTCACTGCATGAATGCGCTATTACACAATCTGCAGGCATGACACTATGAGAGCACGTGGAACAGGGATTCTTGCTCAATACCTGTCTGGAAATCTTCACAGTGTTTGGGAGTTCAAACCCGTAAAGCTGTCAGATAAATGCAGTGAATTAAAAAGTACAATATTTCCCTCTGTAAAGTCTAGACTTAAGGAAACACTGCAATAGGAGGAATAATACTATACTATACTATGTTATGTAAACGTTAATTGTTCTGTGTATCCGCAGAGCTACGAGGAGGAGCGGCGGCTACGTTCAGAGCTGGAGTTGAGGAGCCAGAGACTGACCCTCGAACTGGCCGATACCAAACAGCACATCCAAGAAGGAGACTATCGCAGAGACAACTACCCAAACATCAAACGGTGAGTGTCTGTGTGACTCCTCTGTGGACCTTCTCATTGGATGAGGAGGGGTCAGCTCACTACTGTTGACCCTTTTGAAGACTACAGTACACTTTTGTAAGCTGTGTTCTTATAAAGAGGCAGCGCTTGAAGTGGGACCCAGCTAACATCTCTAGAACAATACACGGGAAAAATGTACTCACACCACAAGTTTCTCTCTCACATCTGAGAGCAACGTGCTACTTATTAGAGAGGAAACATAAATATTTTACTGCTGTAGCTCTTGATCCTTTTTGTAAAAGGACTATGTGCTAACTGATGCATTGAGTAGCTTAATTAATTACCTGCATGATTGTAATATAATATAGCAAACACTTCAGTTTATTTATTTTTGGGGGAAATACTTTAATTGGTTGTTATGAATACAACAAAGGAATGGGATGAATTCTAGTTTTCCCCTCTGTTTAACTTCTGCATATGTACGTTCAAATGTATGTTAACCTGTTTATAACACTGTGCTTTATAGTGAGCGTGACATCTTTGAAGCAGAACTAAAGGAGTTAACGAGAAGATTTGAGACACTAGACCTGACTCAGGCTGCACTGACCAGAGAGAGGAACACACTCAGCAAAGAGGTGCTTCAACACACACACACTCGCACTCTATTTTTCTTTCTTAACACTCATTGAAGTCTCTATTGCTGTACTGTGTAGTTTTTCATTTTTCTCTTCTTGCCCTCCAGGTGGCGACATTGCAGCAGTCAGTGAGTCTCCTGCAGAAGGACAAGGAGTACCTACACAGGCAGAACATGGAGCTCAGTGTGCGCTGTGCACATGAAGAAGACCGGCTGGAGAGGCTGCAGGTCCATACAGTCCATCAGCAAGGAGGCTCATTTAATAAAAAAGGCATTCATTAATTCAGATCTCTGACATGCTTCTTGTTTCTGTGCTGCAGGTACAGTTAGAAGACACTAAGAAGGCTAGAGAGGACGCCTATGAAAAATATGTTGCATCCAGGTTAGCCTCTGCTGTTTTACACCAGTTAGCAGCAGCCAGTATTTTGAGATTTTGTTGTATTCTGTTATTGCATGTTTTTCTTCCATCGTCTTTCCGCTCCAGAGACCGCTATAAGTCAGAGTACGAGACCAAGTTGAGGGAGGAGTTGGAGAACATCCGGCTGAAAACCAGTCAGGAGATAGACAACCTGCAGAGAACCTCCAGGGAGATGTATGAAAGAGAGAACAGGTATCAGTCTTTTTGTTCATATTTAACTCTTAAGAAACTGTGTGTTGGTAAAACCTTTAAACTAATATCAGGGGCGCTATTCTAACCAGAGGAAGTCACACATGTTGTTAACGCGCAATATTAATTATTATTTAGCTAACTAATTATAAAGAGAGGAAGAGTTATCGCCACAGATACATCACAGTAGCATTAAAATAAAAGGAAATACCAACATAACCTGTTCTGCTACACAACATAACAGGAAATGCTGATTCCTTTGTATATGTGTTTTACTGTGTGTGTGTGTTTGATCAGGAACTTGCGTGAGGCCAGAGACAATGCGGTGCTGGAGAAGGACAGAGCAGTGGCTGCTGAGAGAGACACTCAATCCAGATATGACCAAATGCTGGAACAGTGAGTTTTAACCATCCATCACACACATAAAGAAACAGGCGTCCATCCACCTTACATTTAGCCTTTTTCTGCCTTTTCTTCTACGACGACAACTCAAAAAAAGGGAGCCGGTCAAACATATACTATTAAAGCTGCTTTTGTGGTGACCTCACTGTACAGTTATACACATATTTTTATATAAAATCTTAAATAATTTTCTCCCCCTTGTTCCTCTCAGTATTCAACACTTCTCAAGAAGCATTGCATCATCAGTGGTGTATGACATGAGCATTTAAGCAAACATTGCCATAACTCCAGGGGCCCTTAGGAGTTGAGGAGTACTCTGCTACTCTCTGGAACTGTCACACTTAAATGTTGGTTGCTTCCTGGAAGCTCTTGACAATGAGTTGTACCAGGGAAAGTTAAAGAACTTCACCTGAGGGCAATTGTTCAACTTGTAAGAGAACATGGGCCAGTCGGTACACTTTTGTTTTCAAGATTTACCACATCTTTTGTGTGGGGGGCCTCGATCAATAAAGGAGGAATCATTGCTGTGCTTATTAGTTACTTATTTCTATATTTGTGTGTTATTATATTATAATGTCAGCTTATAATACTCAGTATTTCCCTGAAAGCTGTAAGCTCGTTGTTGCTTTGATGCCGATGTGTGACACAGCAGAAGTCTGTTTAGTAGGGCATGTTGTGGGTGCGGCAGGATTTAGGTGGCTGTGGTCTGTCTCTTACCACAGATCACATGAAGGCTTTGCTGTAACTGAGGGGTCAGAAGGTCACACGGAAGTCAGAGTTCACCGAAGGTCAGTTTAGTACCAACTGGTGTCACTGGCCTGGCTGGCTGCCTTCTTGACAAAGTGAGACAAACGTGAGTCTTCGTGGTATCTAATGTTCGGCCTTCTCAGAGGGTTTTTATCTGATTTTGTTAGGGCTGCAGCTTTTTTACATTTGAAGCTTCTGTTAAGGTTTTCAAATGAAGCTTTGGATGTCTGTCATTTCTTACTTTAATGAATATAACTCCTCAGTCAGTAGCAGGCTTATCTAATGAGGGCGTATAGTAATGATGAAATGCAGATACATATTTGTGGTTATATAAATGTAATTTATGGTGCCGGTAGATTGCTGCTAGGCCTCCCTGTTAATACAGGTGCGTTTCACCCTTTGTGTACGGTAAGTGAGAGCAAACAGTTATTTGACCACAGTGAAAATGTTGTTTTTGAAAGGCTTAACACCAACAAATATGGATTGAAGGAGATTATTTCGTCAGATAAAAACATGTTGTTCATTTTGGAAATGATTACGTATTATCTTTTATCAATAAACTTTGACTTTTGGACTTGACGACGCTAGTTATTGGAAATGTTTGGATCACACTAGTATGAAACAATCCTAGGCAGCCACCAGTGGAATATAATAAAGATAATATTAGTGTAGCCTAATGGTTATCTTCAACTGTGCAGAAATACCAGGTTTAAACAGAATGAATGAAGCTTCAAACTTTTCCGTACTGCCCTGGATTTTGTATAACATATTTAAATTTATTGTTGCTTTTTAGCCATTTCCCATTTCCAAACTTACTTTTAGTGAGTTTTTAGTCCCTACCGTATCTCTCCTCCAGGCAACAAATGCCCATCTCAGTATAGCCTGGAAAGGTGCCTCTGGGTCATGCCCTTGTAGGAAGTTTCAAATCTTACATGAAAATTGCAACAGATATATCGTGAGCCCTGCTGCACACACACATACACACATGCAGAAGGACTTTCAGTCAGTTATCCTGTTTTTGTGCTATATGTTTGGTACATTTTGATACATGTTTGTCTTATATAAACAGATGATGGGTATTTGTGTCAGATTTTTCTTGTCACACACACATTTTTGTGTCTTAATTTATATTGTTTTAATACTTGTTATTTTTTTATTTTAACTGAGTTTTACAGTATAGTATCTACCACAAACCGACAGTGACACAGACACAAACAGCAGCAGCAGCAGCAGCAGTAGTGGTGTCCCTGTCCTGGGTTACTACTACATGCCACGCATTTCTCTAGATCCAAACCACCAGCTGTTGGTCTTTCCATACACACACATACACTTCACTCTCCCTTGCGCTCTCTCTCTCTCTCTCTCTCTCTGCTGCGATCACATTCCCTCTCTGTGTTGCATCGCTAGCCAGCAACGACAGATGCTAGCCACAAGCCCTTAACCCCTAACCCCACGCATGCCCCTATTTTTGGGGCAAAGAATGAGGCGGACAAGCTTGAAATGGCGTTGGATGATTGTAGCATAGAGGGGCCAGCTTGAATCTCAGCGCTCTATATTACAATGCTGGCTAAGAGGCTGGCTATGGCGATCAACATGTCAAAAACAAATACATGGTTTTAAGTACAGTTTTCCATTTTCACCTCTCTAGCAGGTCTGAACGTGTTGTAGTGATAATGCCTTGCGGAGCCCCCATATCATGTGCTCTTACTTACTGTAGCTGTAAATATTGCCGTCAAAAATTGGCACCTGAAAGGACAGAGAAAGACAGTACTACTACTACACGAGAAAAGTACCTTTAATTTTTAATTTTTAAGGTACATTTTGCGTCGTTGCATCTAGATGGCAGCCGCCAGTAATAAAAGAAGCAATAAAATGACGCCCGAGTGTACATGTCTGTCACTGAGCACACAGCTCAGGCCTGCACTCGATGGATGATGAAATTCTATCAGGTCAGCTGTAATCGAGAGTTATTAATATTATCCAACCAACCACCATGGTTTAATAGAGTCGTGTGTGTGCTTGAAAGCTGCCTGAAGAAGAGCACTGGGCTAAAAAATGTCAGATTTTTCAATTAATCAATTAATTGTTTTGTCTATAATGAAAAATTACCTTCATAATTTCCCAAAGCATAAAGCGATATCTCTGAGTTTGCACTTATGTCACAAGGCTTTGACTTAATGCACAACTGTATCACCTAAAAACAAACTGTAAAATACATTCTGTCTTCTTTCTAATTACTAAGCACTTAAGTAGGAACATTTTTTTTTCTGGCTGCCAACTAGAATCATGAAAGATCAAACAAGACCAAACGTTGCTGTGAGTGCCACTGAGAAATACTCTCTTGTAACCGAATGATTTAAGACTTGGCTTTCCTGCTTGGCAATGAACATAAAAAAAAATGTTCATTGCGTGAGCCACACCAAACAGGTACTTCATTGCCAATTTCCAAACAAACATGCTGTTATCATGTGTAATTGTATCTATAAGGAGGAAGACATTGCAACATTTGTGTGAAACCACCAGGCATGCCTGAGCTCCACCGAGGGCCCAGAGCTGAGTTTACCCTCTGTGTGAGATGCAGCTGCTTTATTATTTAGACATGTCCACATAACCTGTCTACCCCGAAACACATTATCTAATTTTTTTCAACACACCTACTCACATTCATATTTAGTGAGGTGTTTGCTTGTTTCCATCAACGCAGGTTTCGTCAGCTCCAGCTGGGTACTGACAGCCGGGTAGCAGAACTGTCCAACCAAGCCAAGCTGCATGCCTTCGAAGCTGAGCGTGCTCAGATGGTTAAGGAAGAGACAGCTAAGGCCCTGGCCCAGTGCCAGGTGGAGTGTGAAAAACAACAGAAAAAACTGGAGGTATTGAAATCATAAAGACAAAAAGGAGAAAATGTTTTACTTGTTGCATTACCCAGTCGCTAGTCTATCGTAGTCTCTCGTGATTTGATTTCAGCCAATTAATGTTGTTCCTTGGTTTGAAGTTATTGTTTAATACCTTCAGTGTTTCTTAAATGAAAGTCTCAACTCCTCATTAATAGTGTTAAAGCCAGGGAAGACTGTAATGAAGTTGCTCACTTGCTGCAACCATCACATTATTCAATACAACCAAAAGTTCACAAATCATGCTTAAATCATTGCACTGTTCATTTAGGGAGGAGTCCATCCACAAGATTAATGTTCCACTCTCAGGAATATGTCCATCCAGTCTTTGTATGTCAGTCCAGTGGCTCCATTCTTATCTGTTTCCATTGTAGCACACCCGTTTATACAAGACGTTCATTAAGTGCAGATTGTTCTAGATGTCTGAATGCACTCACTGTAGCTGAGGTCCACCTCTTCACCTGTATGTAACCTTGTGCTGATGACCAGGGGGACGTGCATGTTGTAATCATGTATTGCGCATGATTATGGGAGGAAGAAAATCTTTTCTCTTTTTAAAAGCACAGTGAATGAAGAGCTAGTTTGTTGTTTAGCTGTTTGGTCCAGTTCTTTTATAATAGTGAGGTTTAGAGCCAGTTTGGGATAAAAGTCCTTTAAAAATGTCTCTTTGTGAATGTTTTTGTCTATGCTTATTAGGGATGCACCGAATATTCGGCCATTTTCGAAATACTTTTATCACCGAAACCACACGGCCGAAACGGAAAGTTGCAAACAAAAAACCCGCGGCAGCACACACACTTTGTCCTGGGATATAAAGCACCCAACATGTTGCGGTGGCTCGGACGTATTCTCAATAAATGCTGCAGGAAAGACCCACGATAGCGATTGCTGCAAAAAACGTGTAATGCTGAAGGGGGTGCATCTGTAAACAGATTCTCCACGTCGGGTTTAATTTATCACCTGAAATCCAAACATCCTGATTGCCATTCTGAATATGAGAAGAATGTGGCACAGAAAAGGAAAATCAATCCGAGCACGCCCACTCCGTCTGTGGCGGACGTTTTTGAAA